GTCTAATTCACAGAAGAAATGAATAGTATCTAATATTTCAAAAATCAACAGCCTAATTGAGAATAACATCTTTATTATATGGATGATCAAGTCCTTTTGCAGCTGAATTAATAATCACAGGTTTGATGAGAACAGTGAAGCTCCAGAAAAGAAGCCAACTGCCTTGACTATCCTTCACCAAAGCATGTCAGAAATTCGGATGTCTTTCCCTGGCTATCTGTAAAATTAATGTTGTATTGCACACCTTGTAGAAGGTGTGTGCCTGATGAAATGACTGAGGTGCTGTAAAGTGTATGTTATCCTGCTTATCATTCATTACCTGGGACCCTATCTCTGCAGCAGCAGCACAGGACAGTGAGATCCAGAGCTGTCCAGCATATTTTTTGCACAGTCTGTGTGAGAGGTAGAGCAAGCTAGGGGTTTCCTTACATGTGAGAATCTATATGCATTCTGCAAATTTGTAATTCCCTAAAGGTCAGTGGATCAGATGGCAGGAACAGCTGATCATCTCAGTAGACCAAGTACTACTTGTTTGAGCTCTGCCAGTGGGTGGAAAGTCTTATCAGAATCATGGTATACAGGGAGAAGAGACAAAATACATATACAGAATGCCAGCTCCAAAGCTGTCTCAGAAGGGACATGTTGTAAGGACATGTACATGTGTGCAGACATGTTGTAAGGACTTAAAGAGCACAACTCATTGGATACAAAACACTGTCAAAGCCACCAAAGGAATTTGAGACAAACACAGAAGAGTGGAATTTGCAACATGAAGGCACTAATTCCAGGCCGAGCAAAACAGATCTGGGTAGCATATCCTAGTTAATGCATCCAGACAAAAATTCCCGCTGCGTCAGACTGTGGGAAAGAAAGCAAATGCTTACAAATGCCATCCCAGGATATGGGAATGGTATCTACACCTCGTGGATACCCAGAACCTGGACTATATAAAGGTGGTACCTTCAGAAGAACAACTCCGGGACCCCCATCACTGAGAAGACGAGGTTGAAGAAGGACTAATGGGATGCCCCTGGATCTTCTGACAGAACTCCCTGAGGCTGTCTTGATGTACAGCCATGTGGAATCAGAAGAGTGGCTGAAATGAAGAGAGTTCCCAGTAACTGAGGTTGTTACTGAACCAGTAGAGACTCTACTTTTTTCCTGTGCATTGACTTTGAACTACACTTGCTAAAATAGCATTTTATTAAAATGTCAGGTTTCAGCCCCTGAAGGTGCATTAAAAATGCTGACACAGAAATCACTGGCTCCAAGATAATTCCCTAAAATTGTGTGAAAAACAGCAAGATGGAAAATACAAGCTTTTAGCCACTTGGAGGCAGAGATATTCCCTCCTGAGCCCTTCTAATTCAAAAAAAGGTTGCAAAGTCTTCCTTGCTTTCTAATGTACTGTCCAAAGTCTGTTTAACCTTCAGCAACAAAAGCTGCCTCTTATCCTGAAAGAGGTTGATTGAGAAAATCTTAGACAGGTAAGAAGAGACAGAATTTTTTTCAGAATATGTTTTTTCCATATTAGCCTTTCAGGAATGCATTCAGAAGTGAAGAAAAACATTTTAAGCACTGCAATTGAAATAAAGAGCTGATCCCAAGCACACAAATCTTTTCCTCCTCCTCTGAAACTGTTCCCCAAGCTCCAACTGAATCTTCCAATTTTGGTCTGTCCACTTGAAAGTGCTTTAATGTGGTTGCTTCCTGGAAAGCAGCAGATTCATAAAGATCTCTTTGATCTTCCTCCATCTCTTCCTAGTAGGAAGGTAGGTCACAACTGCTTTAGAATTTCTGCCATGTGAAGGGACCACTTTGCAAAGGTTGCGTGGGGACAGGTTCTGAGCATCCCTTACCTACAGACCTCCTTCCCTCTGCTCTCTGTACTGGCCCACTGCACATGCCTAGCAGCTGGTATGGTGGCTTTCCTGTTAGGTTTTTGCTTTAAGAAATATTTGCTTTGGCAAGTGCTGTCATTCTGTGTAGTTTCACAAAATTTCCAACCATTCTCCTTATACAAATCATTACTTATTTGTGTCATTTCTGTAAGGTGTTGGCCCACAGGTGCTGGGTCACAACTAAGACCCTGTTCTGAATGTGTATCCAGATGTAGGTGAAGAAGAAAGTAAGTTTTATGATATTTCCTCGACTTTTCTTTCCCACTTAGAGATATCAATAAAACTTGGTTTTCAACACAATGAATCTGGAGGGGAAACAATCCTGAAGCACAACAGATAAATAGTAAAATGCACAGCACCTGAAGTACAGAGACTTCACAGCTCCTTTCTCGAAGGGGAGATGCTTTGTAGGTAGAGTTTTCTTTCCCTGCTCTTCGATAACACTTACCTACAGCCCTGAGGTCTCTTTTCTCCCTCGGTAGGCAGCAAGGACTAAAATTACACTTGCACTTACCAGGTGGTGGCAGCCTACCCACTTTTGTCATTCCCTGCAGTGTTCCATTGCCTCAGCTGCTCCTCCCCATCAGGTCTATGAGCACATCTTGATCACCATCACAGCATGTGCTGCTTTCCTCTGATTCAGATCCTCCTCCAAGCAAAAGATAAGTGCAGCTGCCAGAACTTATACTGTCTTCCCAAGCAGGAAAATCCTGAAAGAGAGAGATGCCTTCCATTAAATGCTACATGTTCTAATACTGCTATTTATCGGTTACTGATGAATTTCTGTGCCCTTTTCTCCTTCCCCAAATGCTACATTTTGCACCCCAAGCCTGCAAACCTTTCATCTGGTCAAGGTTGAATATCTAACCCATTTGTAGTTAGATGGCACCACTTGACTCATCCCCCTTTCCTTAGACCTACAACTTTTTACCCAGTTTGTGAAATGCATCCTCTTCTGTCAAGGCATGTTACAGAGCTTAACAAAATGGTGAGGATGATGAATGGATTCAGAGCAGCCCTGCAAAGATGGAGGAGGGGGATACTAGAGAACGAAACATTGGATGTGAGACGGTGCTATGTGCTTGCAGCCCTGAAAACTCATGGTATACTAGGCTGTGTCTAAAGAAGGACATTCAGTGGATCAGGGAAGGGAATTCTGCCCCTCCGGTCCAGTGAAATACAGGAACAGGATGCCCACAGAAGTTGCAGATACCCCATCATTGGGAATATTCAGGGTCAGTTTGGATGAGGGTCTGATGAGCCTGGTCTAGTGGAAAGTGTCCAACGGCACATGGATTGGACTAGGTGACCTTTAAAGGTCCCTTCCATGCCCAGCCTTTCTGTCATTTTATGATTTCAGGGCACATGAGATAGGAGGAAAAAAGAAATTAAATGCCATTGAGGCGGTGAGATAATAAGGGTAAGTTGTGGTGTACATGTGTGAAAAGAACTCCAGAGTATCACAGCACCTTGGGGTAGAGTCCTTTTAAAGTATGAGATGCATCTCCTGAAGTATCTGTGGCCTTAACTTTCATAGGAAACAGGATACTCTGAATTTTGGATACTCTGAATTTCAAATACTCTGAAATTCCAGGTGCTGCCTTCATCTTTGGATCTTTACAGCTCAAAAGGCAACTAAAGTTCAAATCCAAATGAAAAGAAATACAAATGGCATACTTTAACAGGTCCTTATTAAGGCAAAGAGGAATACCCTCTCAGTAACAACACAAAGTCCTCATAAAAAAAATTCCATCTTTTTCCATGCAGAGATTGCTAATCACCAAAGTGTGGTAGGGGACACCCTCCATTTGCACAGTTTTGAGAAGAGATCTCTGCACCCTGCAGCAGAGCCATGTGGATGCATGCAGCATCCTCAACTCACACCAGTTAGTTCTCAAAGCAACAGATGATGCTCTTCCAAATGGAGAGATAAGTACTGGGGTTAATGACTCTGCATCATGACAGCAGCCAGAGGCAAGAAGAGATAATGGGACCGCCCAGCCCAGGTGGTGATGGATCCTGGCTCTCCAGAGTCGTGAGCAGGGTTGCAGCCCTTCTACCCTACTCTGGAGGGACAGCAACTCCAGCTCCTTCCTGCAGGTATGGGGCCAGGCTCCATCACTCATGCTTTTAAGGAGAGTACCAATGCACTGTCTTCCAGAAGCATAGAGACTTGGCAAGCAGAGAGGAACCTGGTACTGTGGGTGAGTGACAGCGGCACTGGATGGACTGGAGCAAAATGCACCTTTCTGCTTCTTCCTGAGGCAGGGACACGACCCACTGGGATGGGAGACTCATACCCAGGGTTGGCCACTGACCACCCAAGTCCTCCAAATCCTGGCATTGCCCATGGAAAAGCAGTAAGAAGAGAAGGTGTCATCCAGCTGCAGGCAGTCCATGCTGACTGGTCCCACCACTCTGCCCCTCACAGGAGACCATGACATGGGATGAGACACACAGCCATCTGTGGTTGAGAAACAGCAAGACAAAAATAGAGACATTGAAAACAAGAAACATTATTTCACTTTTTTCTCCTGACACTGTGTGTTAGTCGGGACAAGTATTATATTGTGACATCACCTGCTGGCTGAGTGTGATATCACTGAGCAGCAGATTGTGACATCATGGAGGGATGTACAAGGACATCTTGTCCTCCACTGCTTATATTTGGACTTGGGCATAACCTTTTCCAGTCTGGCTTCAACCTGAACTCCATCTGAGCAAGACTGTGAGGCCAAGAGGATTGAACCAGGCTTCTCTGGTGATGGTTGGTGCCTGTCATTGACAGACCTTAGTGCCAGAGCCAGAGCAATCACTCCTGTTTCCCTGGCCCTGGCTGGTTCAGGCAGCCGGGCACTGCAGGTGCTGGCAGCAGTGAAGGTTGGCTGTGTGGGACAACATCCCGCCAAGGGTGGCCATGGTGTGGGTGAAGGGAAGCAGGGAGCTGAGAAGGTGTTGTTCTCAAGGGACCTGAGCATTTCTTCCTCCTCTTCCCAGGACACCAGTGACCATGGCCTCTCCTTCCTGAAGTGTGTGACACCAGTGAGAGAAAGCAGCTCCTGATCCTCAGCTGTCCCCAGTGCGCTGCAGAGAACAAAAATGGCCACGGAGATAGACAGGAACTGCTCCATCTGCCAAGACACTTGGAAGGACGTGGCTTCTGCTCTGCCCTGTCACCACCGTTTCTGCCTGGGCTGCATCCTGCGATGGGCTCAGAGAAATCCATCGTGCCCACTCTGCAGAAGGACGATAGAGACTATCAGGTTTTCTGACAGTGAAGACGACTATCTGGAGACAGCCATCGCAGCCCCCAAGGAGCTGCCAGATGGCAGCAGCCTGGCAGGGACAGCTCCTGACAGCCTGGATGAGAACAGCCCCTATTTCCCTGTGGCATCCCATCCATCTTCTCCACAGGGGACACTATCCTCACCTGAGCAGAGGGCCTCAGGGCTGGAGTTTGGGGGTGGCCTTCTTCCTGAGGTCTGGGCAGGACTTTTCCGTGAACGGCAGCAGCTCCTGGACCCTGTGCGGCCTTGGCTGCGCCAGAGGCTGGAGGGAATATACCGGAGCTGGTGGTGGCTGGTTGAGGCCGCAGAGAGCACCATTCTGCACGACCTCTGTGTCAAAGGGCCAAACACACAGGCCTTGATTGAGGGGCTGGAGCCTCTCCTCGAGCAACACACAGCACTGCTGGTCCATGGTGTTATCAACATCATTGTGGGCCAGTGCAGCGAGGAGGCCCAGAGGCTGCTGCGGCGCTCTGGTGCAGTCAGAGACGAGGACAACAGCCCTGTGGCCAGAGCCAGCTCCAGCTCCAGAAGCTTCAGCTCCAACTGCTCCTGGGAGGGGTCTCCTGCCAGTGGCCCTGCAGGACCCAGTCTGAAGGCAGAGGCTGGTACGTCAAAGGCCACCCTACGCAGGGGTCCCAGGCACCCCCCTCCTGTGCCTGTCCCTGCAGAGCAGAACCAGCCTCAAGAGGAGCTGGGACAGGCAATGATGGTGGCAGGTCCCTCTGCCCACGGTGGCAGCCGCTGCCAGTCCAGTCTCGTCCTGAGCAGCAATCAATATCCCAGTACACCCGGGCACCCCCCAAATAGAAAGGCCCCCAGCCCCAGGACTCTCCCCAGCTCTGCAAGAGGCCACTCTTCTGGCAGCAATAGCAGGGCTCCTGCAACCCTTTATTCAAAGAAAAGGAAATAAATTGTTATTTCCCTCACACAGTCTCTCTTGCTGCTTTTCCCTTCTATTGCCTTTCCCCTTCTCCTTGTGCCCCATCATGGGTGCACCCATGTGCTGAGGGACACAGCCATGGGCCCCTGCAGACCAAGGGCCATTTCGGATGTGATCCTTCCCATAAGAATTCCTGCTGCAGCCACACACTCACAGTGCAGCAGATGCCAGCCAGAGTAGGCAGCAGGGCTCATCACAGGATGATGCTCTCAGCCTGCCTCCGGTCCCCCTCGCAGCCCAGCCACCCACACTTCTGCTCTGGTTTCTTTCCACTGCCTGATGACAACCAGGGCAGCCTGCAGAGAGTAAATGCCCTGGCAGACAAGCAGGATCTAGTGGAAACTTGATTCTGATAATTTTATCTCTATGTCCCAAACAAATGAAATTGTTTCAGAACAGATTTATGGTTATTGACAATATTATTGAAGGAGACAGTAATAGCTTTGGCTTCAGCCACTATTAAATCTTGGAAAAACACTTTTTAAGACAATACTCTTCATTTCCTATTTATACAAAGGGTGGTGTTGTCCATTGTCCTAGGAGAGCAGAATAAAAATTACTTATTGCAAAAAGCAACTAATACAATAGTGCTAAATGAGAATTATATATCTGGCAGGGGCACAGATGACTGAAATTAACCGGGACCCAAGAGTTTAACAGTAGAGGGATCTGTTTTGTTGTTCAGTATATAAGTGGGCAAATTTTAGAAGCCTCGTTGCCTCATAAGAAGAGATAAGAAAATGACCTTTTCAGGAAAGAACAAGAAAAGTTGTGTCCCAGTTTAAATGAGACAAGGGTCTTTTGCTGAGGATGAATTAGGAGGAAAAGACCCAAACTTCTCTTTCCAAGCAATTATAAATCCAAAATCAAGAGGCTTCGATTGAAGGAAAACAAATTATGGAAAAGGGAAAAAATAACAGCCCTTTATTAAAAGGTATGTGTGTATTAACAGGAACACGGAAAAAAAACCCAAGTAAAATAACTAAGTATTACTCCTATACCCACCAATAATCCCCTTCATGAACAAAACCGATAAACTGGCAAAAGGAAAATAGTTCAATTTCTTGTACCCTTTGGTGCAGTTCCAACCACAGTCAGCAGGGGGCGCCGTCGGGTCACTGGAGATGCAAAATTTGTAATGTCCTGTACCATTCACCAGGTGGCGCTGTTGGGTCACTGAAGGTGTAAAAAACTTGTAGTGTCCTATTGTCGTCACCAGGTGGCGCTGTTGGATCACTGGAGGAGCAGAACTTGTAATGTCCATTGCCTGTCACCAGGTGGTGCTGTTGGATCCTTGGCTGCCACCGGGGGCGGGGGAAGGGGGGGAACAACAGCAATAAACCAGAAAGTTCTCCCAATGGAAGAAAACTCACAAACTTCAGCTGATTAGGGTCCGTTGTAAGCAGGGCTTGCAGTCAGCCAGAGGCGAGCCAAGGGCAGCAGCCAGAAACTCCCCTCCGACAGGAAAAAAAAAAACAAAGGAGCCCGGCAGTGTCTGCAGCCCGCAGCAGCCTCTCACCCCGGCCGAGAGAGAGAGAGAGTCTCCTCCCCCAGCCTCCACCCCCTTCCAGTCACACAAAAGCCAACTCCCCCCTTCGTTGTCAAGGAAACAAATCTCCACCATTAAGGGCTCCAGCCTATTCTTTTGTTCAACTAAATGGCCCATCACAGAGCGCACACACACACACACACACACACACACACACACACACACACACACACACACACACACACACACACACACACACACGGCAGGAGGAAAGGAAAGAAAAATTCCTTGCTAAAAAATACGAACTATGACAAGTTGTTTTAAAAATCTTATTTTTTTAAAATATTTTAAAATAAAAGAAGATAAGCAACCATATTTTTTTTGATAAAGAAAAATCTACCAGCAGGATGAATAATGGACAACTTCATTTTCAAATATTGCATTTAAAAAAAAAAATAAAGTTATTTCTCATCCCCTATTTACTATTCAGAATCGATTCTGCTGTGTTGATCAAAGGGCTAGAAGTGTACAGTCTCTGCATTTGAGTTATAGAATGAAACATTGTTCCAATATTTCTTAAACAAGAGCCTAAGCAAGCCTTTCAGCTTTTTTATTTCCTTTATTTTCAGTACTAACCTTTTTACTTTCTTTTGCTGATTCTCAGCACATCTCCAGACAGAAGACATTCAGTTAAGTCCTTTTAGAACCAAAATCTAATGCTTGTGCTGAATGTGTATGCACCATATTCTAGGTACAGCATAAAAAGGACTTCAGGAGTAACACGGAGAGAAGTTCTGACTAACAAGATGTGTCTTATAGGGGTATTCAGTTCTTGTCCTTTACTTCACAGTTACTCTTGTGGCTGTTTTGGGGATATGAATAATGCTAAGTATTAGAAGGACTGTATTTAGGCCTTAAAATAGAAATGCTGAACTATATAAAGGTTTGGCCTGGAATGGATCTTTAAAAATCTTAGAATCATGGAATGGGTTCGGTTGGAAGAGTTAAAGATCATCTGGTTTTTCTTCTTTTCTGCAGAGCACTGCCTTTATAATACATTTATTGGATTGATATTTCTCCCAAATTCAATTATCATTTTAAACGGTCATATCCACAGTGCACCACTGATGTTGGTTTTATAAAATCTCAGTCAAACTGATAAGTTGAACCTCATATTCTCCCTGTAGTGGAGCATATAGAGTTTTAAGACACAATTAACTCTGAAAAATTCAGAAAACTTTCATCAGGTTCTTATTAACAGAAAATTAACTCCCTTTTCCAAGAAAGAATTATTGTTTTAAAGTTTTATTTCCTAATCAAGGATTTTTATTAAACTGATCAGAATGACTCAGCAATATTAAAAAAATAAATTTGAACTCAATATATAGATTTAAATTTTTTATTTAAAAAACTTTAATTTGTGATAGGTTTGTCTGAACTGCACAAAGTAGGAGAAATAAACTAGGAGAATAAAAAATAACATTATTAAACAAGATACAGTTCTGTCAAGGTCAGTGGCATCTTCAGTACCAATGAGAGCAGCAGCATTTCTAGTATGCTTATTTCTCAACCCAAAAATCTCCCCCCAAATAGATATTAATACTTAAGGGATGAAGGACTCTGTTGCTCATTTTCTTCATTCTCCCACAAAAATATTTAGCTACTCCTGCCACACTAGCTCTCGCTAAACCAAGCAAGTTTCAATTTATTGCTAAACAAGTCCAGGTATTTTATTTATTTTTTTTTTCTCAGACAGAAGCACTGAGACCATATAAAATCAACTTTCTTAACAATCTCGTATAGTCAAGTAGCCTGATCTAGAAATATGTTTTTTCCATGTAATTTTCCATTAAAATTACCTTTCTTTTATTTCTGTTATCTAACTAGTGGAATTATTAAATTGCTTATACTTTCAAAATCTGTTGATTCTACATTGGTTGATTTAGAAGTTATGTATGACTTTTTGTGTTTCTCATGGGATAGAGAGATAGACCAGTAATTTAAAAGGAATGTAATGCTTTATGAGTGGCCTGGTTGATACAGCCCTTGTTTTTCAAGCTGCGGTCCGGTCCCATACACACAAAAATCCTGCCATTTGTAGATGCACTTTACTTTACCAAGCTGATTCTTTCTTGGTGAATTTATTCTGTTTTGCTTAACCATACCACAGGAAGCAGTAAGACACTTATTATAGTAATCTCTCTTCAAGCACAGTATAATTTATGATGAAGTCCAAGCTCCTCCTAGTTAAGGTAATTTTCTGAGATTCCTTCTACAGTTAATTGCAATTCAGAGGCACTAAGCTGAGCTCCTGGAGTGCCTAAGAATTATATCTATTTCTGTCTACTGACTACACTGGATTTCTAAATAAATAATAGCAAATACTACTAATAATTGAAAAAAATCAGTCACCTTGTTCTAGTTACCTTGATTTGTTTCCACAGATTTCCACTTGTTTTTTACCCTTACAAAGGGTGAAACTTGTTGTTTTGAAGCTGAAGACAGATCACACAGGGTGTGAGAATTTCATAACTGTTTCTACAACTTAGAGCCAAAGTCCAATCCACTCCCAAGATGCTGCAGTCAGGCCCCCTTTGTTGGAAAAATGCTCCTCTTGGAATGAGGAGTTTGTCTTTTCTCAAAACAGCAAAATTCACATCTCTGTTTTTGTTATGACTCTTACTGATCCACACTGTTGCTCAATTACTCAGAGATCACTGTATTGCTTATTGCTTTAATATATTGTGATTTTTTAAGATATATGCTTTCAGGAAGTCTTTGTAAAGGCTTTGGAAATTCTCCTCACTGTAAGAGTTTCATGCACAGCAGTTCTTTACTTTCTGAGGTAGCACAAAGCATTTCAATTTAATCTCTTGCTGCCATTTTATGAGTAGTACCAAGGAAAGAAAATGCAGAACTTTTAAGATACTCATTGAAATATTCAGCTTGTAAATCATATCTTTCTTCTAATGAATAGTTTTTAAAACTTTGAAAAGTTTGGAAAGCACATGTCAATGTAGTTGCTAGAACAAGGTCATTACTAACATCTAGATCCCCAAATCTTTGCTTCACAGGTTGTAATTGAGAGGTAAGTCCGAGGTTGGTCTAAAAGAAAATTAGTAAGGATAAAGGTACAGTCAGATGGGGGTGCCCTGCAGTCCCAGGAGGTACATTGAGGCAAATTCTTTATTTCATTCCCTCATAACACAAATTCAAAGAAAAAAAAAAGCACACATGCACACACACAAAAAACAAAACTCAAACACAAAAAAAACCACAAATCAGCCTCAAAACACACAGACACACTCGTTAAAGTAGTTTACTAGTAGTAGTAAGTACAAAGTCATCATTTGCACTGCCATTTCTGTAGATACTTAAGGCAGATTAGTCACTGTACATGCAAACCCACTCTGTTTTGCTGTCATGTATCTGGAGCTATTTTATATAGTGTGGTTCTTGTAAGTTTTCCTTTCTACAATTT